CTGTTCCCCACCATGCGCAGCACGCTGTGATCCGACACGCCTAAGCGGGAGTGCTGATACAAGAAGCTTGTCCCGGAGAACATTATGTTGTTGAGCAAAGCAAAAACGGAGTGATCGCAAACACCAAGGGTAATTAAGTACAGAATGTGTGTGTATCCATCAAAGCTGCAGTACCGCGTGTACAGCGAGCTGCCACCCACCAGCGACAGCGTCCCGATCGAGTACAAACCAAACCCCCAATACCTCAATGCATGTGCCTTGACGTTGCTGACCAACAGCGAGGACGCATTCAATACAACGTTTATCAGCATCAATACGCCAAACTTGTTGCTGATAGTATCCGCCAACTGAACCTCAGAGGTTTGCACCGCGTCAACCTCCGTGACGGCAATATCGCAGTGCTGCGGGAGGACAAGTGCAAAAGCAACAACGGAGGAACGCATCATCGCCTGGCCCACACGGATCAGGACGCCGGATGACTCGGCCGACTCAGCGCCACCAACAAACCGCAGCACGACGCCCTCACGGAATGTGCACCCAGTGAGCGTGATGTTGATGGGGAGATGCAGCGGCATACTGTTGAGGTAGAACGTCAGCGCAGCACCCACGCCGCTGAATGTAACCCCCACGTAGCAGTGGTGCGTCTTCCACATGTTCAGCGTGACGTTCGTCAGCGTCTGGTTCACCACGCAGCTCGTGTCGCCGTCGACGGCTCTCTCCGGCAAGGGCAGCACAACCCTGTCGGGCACCTCAAAGGGAAGACACGACGCGCCATGCCATCCGTCCTTGCAGCTGCACGAGCACGAGCTGCGGTCCACCAACTCCGTCCCGGGCATGTAGCACGCCGCGTCGTCGTTGCACATGCCGCACCTGAACACCACCACTTCCCCAGGAAACATGCCGTCGTACGACACCTCCTCACCGCCCTGCAGGTTGCACCCAACCACAAACCGCGCGGGGGAAGCCACAATAGTGTCTGATGAGGCCAGATCAGCAAAGGGATAAATATCGTCTACCTGAAGGTTGTGTGCAAGCACCACGGTGGTGCCGCTGTCCGACAGCTGAATTTTATGCTGGACATGTGCTATACTTAATATTAAGGCTGCGCTCACGTTGTTGCCCTCCACACGCCACTGCGCACCTCCTTCCAGAGTCACAGAGCCGACGAAATACACCAACGTGGAATCCAAAAACTCCGCGCTGCCAACAAAGTTGCAGTCCGCCACTCTCAGCAGCCCCGCGGAGCTCACGACGGTATCCCCAAATACATAAACGCCATTGACCGCGCTCATCGTGTTGTTCTCCACGTCAAGGTAGCCGCCATTCAAAACAGTGCAAACGCGAACGGACGACTCCACACCGTCGTCCTCCTCCGTTGTGATCAACGTATTTCCCTTCACAATGATCCCGCCACCATCAACAATACCAATGGAAAAATAGACTGCGTGAATATTCCCCTCGATGTTGTTGTCGAGCAACAGCAGTGACGAGTTCGCCCCAAGAGAAGGCAAATAAAAAGCAACGGCGTAAGACGACGTCGTCACAAGCGTACTACCTGCCACCAGTATCTGGGAGCTCACGCCAAAATCACCGGCAAACTCCAATGCACCTGAATCCAGCATCGAGGATGTCACGCTCACGTGCACGCGTGCACCACTCCCCTTGATCAACAGGCCCACGAGGACGCACTGCAGCAGCGTGATGTTGAGTGTCTGTTGTGGCGCGTCAAAATGCAACAGGTCCAGCACAATCGCGGCGGTGAAGGTCACGTTGACGAAGCACAGACCACGCACACCGGGATCAGGATCGTCCACGGAGCTGATGCTGCCACCGTGCACGCAGCGGACCTCCGTGTCCCTCGCATCGGGGAGCGGAAGCGGCCCAAGGCCGTCCGGAACCGCAGCTGGCACACACGTGTCGCCGTGGCCGCCAGCAGCACACACACACTCACAGCCGCTGATGCTGCTCGTCCTCGCCGCAAAGCACACGGCGTCCACGGTGCACGCACCACAGTCCAGCACCCTCACGGGTGATCCAATATTGAGGTCGTCTCCGTAATCCGTCACAGGAGAGCCCCTTGCCTCGTTGCACACGCCGTAGATGGTCGGGCGCGCGTCGGATGGCGGTGACCAGTTGCTTGTCATAAAGGTAAAGGTCGAGTACGAGCCGTACGTGAAGTTGTTGTCAAGTATCGACCACACACTCCGATCGCGGAACGCAACGCCGTAGTGAGCAGCCACGTACACAACGTAGGCGGTGCGGAACTCGTTGTTGCGGTGCACCAGCCAGCTGCCGTCAGTCACAGTCAGCGTGTTTGCCATGAGCATGGCGAAGCCGAGACGAAACGTGCTGGACACAACCTGCAGCACGCTGCCGCCAGCCACAACAACGTCCCCAAACACACACGCGCCCCCGTAGTACTCGGTGCTCGGCGCACTCCACGAGCTGTTCTGTATGGAGAACACGGAGCCGCCGCTGACACGCAGGTCCGACGCAAGAGCGTACATCACGTGCGTCCGCGACATGACAGCGCAGTTGTCCATGTAGAATACGCTGGACATGTTCGCCATGAGGCCGCGCTCCACGAGGATCGCAGCGCACAATTCCCCGCCACACACCAGCGTCGACCGCGTCATGACAAACCGCGTCGACAGTAGCCGGACGCCGTCCAGGACAAGCGCGGGGCCGTACCGAAATCCCTCGTGGCCACGGGTCGTCGGCACGTACCGCGACCCGCCAACCGTCGAACGCAGCGTTGAGTTCGCCAGCAGCACACTCGAGTGCTGCGGCATCGCGCCATGCAGCACGATCGTGCCCTCCAGCGACGTCACATTCGTCATGTTGACGAGGGCGTGGGGCATCAGGCGCGCCGTGCTCTCGCTGAGGCCGCCAATCCGCAGCTGCGCGCCGCCCGCAAGCACGCAGTGACGCAGCGTCACGTTCAGCGCGTCAGCGAACGCGTCCATCGAGCGCAGTTCCACCGCCACAGTGATCGGTCCGCTGAACACCACCGAGTCGAAACACGCCGTCGCACGCCCGCCGCCCGCCGTCACCGACCCCGTCAGCGTCACGCCACTCACGCAGCCCTCCGCAGTATCGCCACCGCCACCGGCCCTCGCAGGCGGCACGTCGAACGGCAGACACGCATCGCCCACACCGCCGGCACGGCAGCTGCACACGCAGTCAGAGAACGAAGCCGTCAGCGCATCAAAGCATGCCAGCGCAGCCGCACAGCCGTCGCACGGCACCACGCTCACGGAGGGCAGGCCGGCAGAGCGGTAGTCGCCGCTGCTCCGCAGCACACGGCCGCCGGCACGGTTGCGCTGCACCGACACGGCGCCGCTCGCGATCGTCGGCCCGGAGACAAGCGTAGCGCCAGCGGCAGCGCAGCAAGCAATCGACACGGCACCGCCGCTCAGCGTCACCCCCGACAGCGACGCCACAGACGACGCCTCGCCCACCGCCCACACGTCGCGCAGCTCCAGCCACCCGCCGGCACCGACCGTCCCACCGTCGCAGCGCACCAGCGACGACGCAACAGACCCCTCGACGCCCACGAAGCGCAGCACCGAATCAAGTACCGCGAGGCGCTCGCCAAGCACAATGCCGCCGCCGCTGCTCACAACCGACACGTTCGTCACGGAGAACACCGAGTGGCTCCGCAGACTGAGAATCGACGAGGGCGCCACACGCATCGCGGACGCGGTCGGACCGCCCAACGCCTCCAGCGACACGCCGTCAAGCACCACCGCGCTCGACAGCAGGTCCACGCCGCCGCCAACGTACACCGCCGACCCGCCCGCATGCAACGACCTCAGCACAGTGTTGCTCACACACAGCTGCGTCTGCAACAGCGAAGTCGCGTGCAGCACAAGCGGCGACGCCACAGCGTCCGTCAGTCCGCTCAGCTGCGAGTAGCGCATCGGCCCCGCCGTCACAATCGTCGAGTCACGGACCGTCACGTTCGTGTGTGCCGGCAGGTTGTGCACAAACACAAGCGAGCAGTAGCCGCCGGACAGCCCGCTCACGCTCACCTCCAGGCTCCGGTCACTCGCCGGCTCGCCGCTGTAGCCCCGCACGTAGATCTGCGCACCGCCGTCGCACACGCAGTTCCTCAATTCGATGCGCAGCGCACCGGGAAGCATCGCCGGCACGTCGAACACAACAGCCACGCCGTTCGTGATGGACACGCCGTCCATCAGCACCGTGTCCACGGCGCGGCCAACCGTGATGGCTCTGTCCACCGTGCCGCCCCGCAGTCGCAACACCACCGCATGCGCCGCGGGCACCCACGCCGTCGCCGCAACCAGCGCCAACGCCACAAGCAGCGCCGCACGCACAGTCGCAATGGCCCTGCGCCGCACACGGTGCCGGCTGCGCGGACACGCACCTTCCGCAGACCGCATCCACCGACACAAACAGGCACCAACAGGGCTGTCGTGGCGTGTCGCACTCGCACCGTCAACCGTAACTCCCGTTTAGCAAAATCCCTTCTACAGATGGCAAATACAGATACACAATTCCTATATATCGCTATCCCACTAATTCTGCTATTCCTAATACAGCAATTAATAATTAACACCTTGAAACGATAGTTGTGCTGGTGAAGCCAAAGTAACTCTAAATGCTCGGTCAGAGGAGAAGGAAAAAGCAGGAACAACAGCAAATAAACACAGTGGCACGCAGAAGCATCCGGCCACAGCCCGACCGCCAACATACAGACAAGAAGACGCGCAGATGCAATCACAACAGTGACATCATCGCCCTCCCTCATCGAACAGCACCGCACTAAATCACGCCGTGGATACTTTGTGAACTAGCGGCAATGGGGCAGCGTACACGGAACGGCATCAAAATTCCATCCTATAATTGCTAAAATTTATGTTTCTCGTACTTGTTGGCAACAACACTAAAAAGACCACAGAAGAAAAAGCTTCCATCCTTCCTCAAAATCAAAAACACAAGAAAAAACCTCTCTACCCTCTCCCTTTCCACGGCCTGAGTGCCGCAAGAGGCTGTCAATAAAAACACGTGTGTGGAGGCCCCAAATGTGCGGGCGGGGTCGGCATCCACCCACACACCCGCGCTCCCTCCACTCTCCCTCACACGGGGGCGGTGCCATGCGGGAAAGAAGTCCGCCACACGACGCATGCAAAAAGCACTCGGTGAAGCAACACCACCCATGTCGCACCACAACAAAGAGCCATGCGCTCAGCACAGACCCACGGCCGCAACGAGAGGAACGGGACGCACCCAAGTCCACGGCAATGTCCTTTACTTTTCTCTTCCACGACAAATTTAAATTGCACCCCACAACAGGTTGTGGCGGGTGGCGTCCCACACCTACGGTGACGCACGGCACACACCGTTCGCTCCCCTCCGAGTGCACTCAGCAGGCCGGGGCAGGGCGCCCCGTCATCCTCGTGTCATCGCAAAGGGGAACAAAAACAATCGTCGTCGCTGGCCACCGGCGCCTCTAGCAGGAATATGAAAGAATGGGGGCATTTCAACAGCACAGAGGACAGAGGGACATCCAACGGGACAAAAAGACACAAAGAGACAGTGGGAAGAAAAAATACAAAAACGAGCAAAGGGGATTTACAAAAAACAAAACACAATTAATAAAGGGCAGAAAAAGAATGACAGTCCAGCAAAAATCACAAAAGAAAAAGTGATCAGGCAGCACTTCGATTTCGTGCACCAAGCAACAAAAAACGACCGTGCGTTTGGGTACACACACATTGCCCACACCAAGAAAAATTAAAAAGAAAAATATTGTACTTTTCCACGAGAACACACAACGCCCCTCACATTACATGTGGCACACGGTCTGCTCCTCCGCTCCTCCTTTTGTGCAGTCCGTGGGAATCACAGGAATGAGTCCGGCACAGCGTGTGGGCAACAGAAGCAAACAGGAAGGAGAGGGTGCGCCACACATGAGGATGTGTGTGAATGATCAAAGAAATTTCACAAAAGCAAGAATTCAATGGATAAACACACACAAGCATAAAAAAAAATCACTCTTCGGAAGGCAGTGGAATTGGAAGTGGTGCTGCGGATGTGTTCCAACGATTGCAGCAACCCCACACTCTCCCATACCCCAACAGAAAGCCGCAGTGCCCCAAAGCCCCAAAAGCGGGAGCAAAAACACCCGAGACACACACCCATGCACGGTGCTGTCACCCCTTAAATCCCTCGCCCTCAAGTTAGTGCTGCTCTCGGAATAAGAAGAAACGCTGTCAGAAATGGCCTCACTGCCAGCTCAGCCACTCCTCAGGCAGCGCTGGTAGCGGCTCCATCTTTGGCCCTTCCGGCCCTTTTGATTCTCCCCAAGCAAGAGTACTAGACACTGGCACAACGTTGAAGTGGCCGGCTGCGCCAGGGTGCAATGTACTTCCGGAATTCTTCCCTACTCAAGGGTCGGTTGTACAGAAAGACGTTTTTCGCCGTCACACGCCTCTCACTCCGTGTGTCGTCTGCGCAGTCTCCATCCCCTTTCATGCTAAAGCGTCCGATCTCCTGTGAATTCCTTCCAGTCGCTGATGTCGATGCTGAATTCTTGAAACGCTGGCCAGTA